CATGTAGTTTAAGAAACATAATGCCTGTTACTTTTGATAAGTTTAGTTTTTTTACATTTTGATCTTTAATATCTTGGAAAATTACATTAGGAAACGGTATTTATAAGAAATTGGTCATCATTCAGAAATGTTTAGAATATAGCGGTATACCATATAGCCATACAAAGATATAACTTGTGAGCATGGTTATAAAATCCTATTTCCCTTTCAGCAAACTTATCCATCAACCAATAAATACCATTTATTCACAAATGCTTAAATTCAAGTTATTTCTATTAAAACACTGAAGACTAAATAAAAAATACTTTGAAAAATAAAGATTTTGAGTACTTACAGTGTTAAGAGATTTTGTGCTCATGTGTTGTATGTGCTAACTCTTAATATAAGCCTTGTCTATTCTTCCAAGAAGAGATTAGTTTTTGAAGGCTTCAAATACACATTTTGGAACACAAAAAATTATCAACTTACTATGTTAGTACACATAAAACCCATTTAATTTATCTGGGTTTCTAAACAAGCTATATATGACTTTAAAAAAATCTCATATGCGTTCAGAGCATCAACTTAGACATCATACTTCAACAGTTTTCACCAAATTATGACCTTCACCTTTAAGCTGTTTACAAATGACTGTCAGATTTACATACACAAAAAACTGCTCTTTCTCTTAGTAGTAAACACTTAATCAAAAGAAGTAGGTGGGACTAGACAAAAGATTTCTAAAGAATGGAGTAGTCGGAGGATCCACTCTACTAGATTGGCTAAATATATTGACATCTCAGCAAATCAAAGAGATGGGTTCTTATTTTATATTCTAGCCTGTCTCAAATTCAAGTTTCTAATTTGTTAACACTGCACACATTGTATGGTAGGTGTAATAAAATATAAATTGAGTAATAACGCAATAGGAGGTGTTATGTGACAAACAAAAATTGATATTTAGCATTTTTCTTTATATATCCTTTTAAGTTAAAAAATTAAAATATATATAATATTAAAATTTGAATTACAAATTGTTTTTGATGTAAATTCCATTGACATAAGTAATAAAGTCATTAAATTAAATTTTGATAATAACTCTATAAAAGATCATGACGTGCTCTTTAACCTACCAGAAGAGAGTGTTAAAATCACAAGTTGGAATTAATTCTCTAATATTTGGCTTTCTTTAACTAAATAAAAATATTTATTTAAACATAAGTTTGTTTGAAAAATAATTTTGTATACTTGAAATAAATACCAATTAAATTGGATGATTCCACTATGGCTCTTCTCTCTTCAGGAAACGGTTCACGTAAATTGAAATGATACTTGAATTCTAGCTGATCTGAAGACTTCAAATTAAAAAGTGTCAGTTGTTCCCACAAAGAAGATTTCTCAACAGAGTTGTCTACCAACACTACAGTTACTCCTATTAAGTGTGTCACCTAGATAAAAATGAAGTTACAACAGGATTAATAAATTTATATTATTATTATTATTATTAAAAAAATAAATTTTATGCATTTGATTTGTTATTATTACCAGGGCTCATACTAAACTTTTTTTAGGGAGCAGGCCTGGCTCCCAAAATATGAATTTTTAGGGGCCAGCAAGCAGTTTTATGGGCCAATCCTATAGCTCATTGTAAAACGTACTCTATGGTGGAGGTTATCAGAAAAATCACTGAATTAACCCTATCGCAATGGGCATCCTTTACTGTGCATTTCACAAGGTTTTAGTGACTTACATAAAAAATTTTATTTATCTACTTTTTGTTTATGTTATACCAATTATTATAGCATAAAATCTTAGCTAGTAATCCTTTTTTTAATAGCATATAACTTTTAAGTTCTTAATATTTAAAAAAATCCCAAATTTCCCCTAGTGTGACACATTTTCTCTAGGCATCACCTCTTCTCCATTTTATCCACCACCCCTCCAGTAACTAAGAAATTAAATGTAAATTACTCGTTTTAAAATCATCATTGCTCAGACAAACCATAATTTTTATAGCCTTCAATTATGTTTGCTTATAGAACTCAGAACTCTCTTCCCACACCCACCTGTCACATCCTTTCTTTCAGGATTTGTTAATAGTTCTCTCTTACATATAATTATAAATTTTCTATAACCAATAGAAAGCTAAGGTTTTCATCTATCCAATGACATATTGTATTACTTTGTTTTCTGAATATAGAATTTTCAATTTCACTATTAATACAAGCTTCATTCCTACAGGAAAGATAACAACTAGATTTGTTGAATTTGTAATGGCTCTTGTCACATGGTTAGGAAGTCAGAAAAATTTTGATAGTTAAAAGAAATTGTCTACTTTTTGCATGTTATTATTCTATGTTCTTTGGTGCATTATTTAATTAAATAAAATAATTTAGTGCATTACTACCATCTGTATAAAAAAGTAAGGTTAAGTGTCATTGACAATTGACAGCAACAAAAAGATGATTCAGGTAAGTACTTTATTTCTTGTTTTTCATGCTTATTCTTTATTTATTATTATAAAACTAACTAAAATGGAAAATTGGGATCTTTTTTAGCTTAGTTAAGGATAGATTAGGTAACATAAATAATAATAATAATAATATAATAAAAATGTATCACAGAGTTTGCACATGAGCAGCTCATGGGTAACATAATTCAATAATGTAACATAACCTCCACGATCCCCAAGTGATTTACAAATTATAATGGTACGAATAGTAATTAGACATGATTCAAAAGGCAATAAAACAATAACATTTAATTATAAATAGATGTATACTGTTACGAGTTTAAAGATAGCTAGGATAAATGAATGTAGTTAGTGTTACAATTTGAAGTCATTCTAGAAAGAAAAAAAGATAATTTAGACTTACTTTGACTTTGGGTAACATAATTCAATAATGTAACATGACCTCCACGATCCCAAAGTGATTTACAAATTATAATGGTACGAATAGCAGTTAGACATGATTCAAAAGGCAATAAAACAATAACATTTAATTATAAATAGATGTATACTGTTACGAGTTTAATGATAGTTAGGATAAATGAATGTAGTTTAGTGTTACAATTTGAAGTCATTCTAGAAAGAAAAAAGGTAATTTAGACTTACTTAGATTTTTTTGTTGGTAGTTACAAGGTTGTTCAAATTGAACTAACATGTTGGGGTAGAGAAAATAACAGATAAAATATAAAGTTAATTGAAAGCAAACATTTGAAATGTATCTGAGAAGTTTTAGAGATTACACAAATTAAACCTGAGATTTTTTGAGATGAAAAAAATTATTTTTAATATTAATATGAAAATCATTTTGCACAAAGACTATTCAAAATAAATATTTGATATATTCACAGACAAATCTTTTTTTTTTAGTTTATTTATAATACTTCACAAAAAAAATTTTTTGTATGTGTTTGTTTGTTTGTAATTATGCACAAAACTACACAATGGGCTATCTGTGCTCTGCCCACCACATGTATCGAAACTCGGTTTCTAGTGTTGTAAGTCCGCAGACATACTGCTGTGCCACTGGGGGGCTTTTTGTATGTGAAAGATATATAACATTTACTGAAAGATTGTCAAATTTTGTGAAGATACATGTATGATAATAAAAGTTAGTAGTATCAAATCTATAAAGGTCTCATGGTCGGTCAAATTGAACAAGCCCGTGTTGACAGAGTTAAATAGCAGATGTCATGTAAATTGAAAGGAAACTATAGATATCAACATATCTCAATCTATTTTGTTGTGAACCTGTACTTCATGAAAAAAAAAGAAAGAGAGATCATGACTTGTTTTTTCCTGGCACATTTATTTATAACTTCAACCATTTCAAATTTAATGAAGCTTCAAAATACATTCTCTGTTTTCATTAAAATTTTTTATGTTAAACTGTCAACAATACTATACAATGACATGATCAACTTTACTGTACATAATTGGAATCAGGCCGATTCTGTGCTATACTAATCAGCAATCAGTAATTTACGATTCTAACTTCCATAGACCCAGAAATTCTTGAATATTGATATAAACACCCTATCTCTAAAGAATGGGATCAGCTCTCGCTACCATTCCCATGACCAATAATTCTCTGATAGCCTTGGAAAGAATATCCACACTCTGAGGACTTGTTGGAGATGGAAATACCACTGTTTGGGAGGATAATGGAAGTGGAGAAATGAACTGAATGACCAACCATGATGCCATAACCTGAAGTACCCATGGATCTGTGGTGTAGAAATTCTAGATGTCCAGAAAATGTTGAAACCTCGCTCCCACAGACCCCACCTGCATAGGGTAATCACTGATGCCATTGAAGACAGTCTGACCAAGTGGAGGAGCCTCGAAAATACTCATAATCTATACTGAGTGCCAATAGATGGAGGAGCAGAAGCCAGGGGTTGGGACACACAACGAGTAGTCACATCATCTAGAGGCCAATGACAACAAGGAAGAATGCAAACACGCGACATCAGTTTTGAATTCCAATGCTTCTGGGATGCCTGCAAACATCAAGGGATGAAGAGAAGGAGCCTCACAAAGGGGTACAGCAGATAGACAAAATCCTTCCAACATCTACTCAATACATCCCAACAACATGCAAGCCAGGAAACCAAAGAAAAAGCAGAAGCTGACAATCTTACCAAAATAGAAGTCAACAAAGGACCCAATTCATCCTCAAATTAATGTGGGGAATGCTGATAGGCTTCCGACAAACGTTGGAGGGAAAATAAATATCTCAGAACAGTAGTGAGAGTTAAAAGAATCCAAAAAAAATTGTGATCTGTTCAAAGTGATCACAGGATGTATATATGGAACCCCATATATACAAAAGAGGATCAAGTCTTTGGGAAGCTAAGTATATGTCCTCCTGGCAGTGGTAAGCCCAAGCATGCTGTTCAGACAAACGTGGGTGACAGGGCATAGCTATCCCATCACATAATTGAGCAGTAAATCTCCCAGTAGGAACAGTAATATCAGGTGAAGGAGGAAAAACCAAGTAGTCACCCTCAGACATTTCAGCCATCAAGGAAGGAGTAGATTCAAAGGCAACTGGAGAAAGCACACAGACCCAATTGACTAACTGAAGAAATGGATCAAGAGGTGGCAGGTCTATAATGGTCTCATGAGAAACCGACCTAGTAAATGAAAGCGGCAGAAAAAGAGACCCAAAATTCTCTCTAAACTGTCCTTGATCATTGGCAAAACAGGCTTCAAACCCCTGAAGAGATGCCCCCAGACTGAATATATGACACTAGATGACAGAGGTGGAATAGAGGAGGGCTGATTAGTCTTCATGCTGGAAACAGTAACCTGTGAATTCATGCCTGAAAATGGCATGTCACAAATTTTTTTTTGTTTTTTTAAATAATAGTTATTGAATATAAATTATACAGAAATCCACGGGGCAATGCAAAAATCGCGGCTAAGGACGTTAACTATCGCAGCACTTTAGTATAAAATCCCATGTCTAAACGCTTTGTCAAGAAAATTATCTGAATGAGGTGCTTATATACAGTACCAGGATAGAGGGTGCATTGACATAGTTGGAGAGTACCATGAGACAAATACTGCCAAGGGCAATTGAGTGAGGTAGAGGACTGGAGCAAGCGAGAAAAAAATCAGACCAATGCTTAGATGAGCAAAGTTGAAACCCTGGCAGTCAATTAATAGCTATACGTGTCAGTGGAGGTGAGTATGTTTTAGAATTACAGGTACTTTCTATTCATATCAAAATTACAGTTTTCATCAATTTAGTTATGAAAAGAAAATCAATATTGTATGTACAGTTGAGGAATTTTAACAGCTTCTTTAAAAATCAATGGAAGACTTATGGTTTTATAAATATAAAAAAATATTAATTCACTTGCACAATAGTTCTTAACTACACAGCGTGGTCACAAGTAAATAGACACCACCTTTTCAGAAAAAATGAAATTTTTCAGTCATATTCACATGAATT